GCCTTCCCAAGGCCAGCCAAGAGACATCTTCTCTGCTGTATGTCAAGAGTTGACTCAGGAGGCCTCCTCCCGGTAGGAAATACCTGGAACACCTCACCCAGGAGGCACCCAGGGGGACTGCCACCTTAATGCAGTAGCTAAGCACACTGATCTGGGGTGAGGGGCCAGACATAGAGAAATTCACATGAACCCTAAACAATATTGAGGAATCAAGGGACAAGTTTATCCTGCCCAGGATGTGGTTGCTGCTTCCAGCCCTGCAGCCAGGACTGTGGACAGATCTTGAGAGTGACTGCGTGGTCACCAGGCCGCACCGCATGGGGCACGGCCGGGCACTGAAGAGGTGACACAGGCCCACCCTCCTATAGGGTCACCATCCCACTGGAGGTATCGTATAACACTGGGTGCTATGCGTGTCGGGCACCAACCAGAAACGCCCCCTCCGGTCTGATCCCCAGCTGCTGAGGCTGACTATCAGAATTAAATGTTGATGCAGTAAATGTAAATATCCATCCACTAAAATAGAACAAAACTATGTTGAAATACCAGCTCTTTCAGATTAACATGGGTTTATTTATTGGCACAAAAATATACAGCTGAGAATGTTTTTCAGGATCTAACAACATAATTTGATCATACGTTTAAAATGAGGGGGAAAATGAATTACTATCTTCTTATGAAGATTAGCAAGAATAAAAGTGTCCACTCATTCCCTTCTTTAGTAAAAGAATCATTGAAATTTACTTAAAAATATAAAACATGAAACAGAGTGTGTGAGACAGAAAGCAGAACTAAAGAGGCAACGATTTTAAAGGGTTTATTTGAAATAAGCTGAACATGTAGTTTAATTTATATTAGAAGTCACCAAAAAGGTTAGCATACAACTGTTTGACCAAGCCTGCATTAAAATTTACTCATTTGGAGCTTTGTTTCAAGATGAAATCTCACACACATATTATGGGTTGTTTATTGAGACATTTTACTTGCCTGTGATTTTCTGTGAGTGGCCTGTGTTGTAAACATCCACCAGCTCAAATAGCTGCTCCCCCAGAGAGTCAGAAGACACTGACACATCATCCTCATCCTTACATACCTGACTGTAAAGAAAGACATGAGAATACACTCGCTGAAATGTTTTGACATTCAGATAAATCCCATGTGTGTTACTGTTATTTACTCCAAAGGTAAAGCTCTCCTGTGGCCTATGTAAAAGAAAGAAAGGTCACAATGCCTCTTAGGAGTGCCGGCACATCTTGTTTTGAAACTGTCTTTGTCAGGTCTTATGATACAGATTTAATTCACCAGGTGTTTAGGGCAGGGGTGAGCAATTCCAGGCCTCGAGGGCCGGTGTCCTGCAGGTTTTAGATCTCACCTTGGGTCAACACACCTGAATCACATGATTAGTTCGTTACCAGGCCTCTGAAGAACTTCAGGACATGTTGAGGAGCTAATTTAGCCAATTAAATCAGCTGTGTTAGGTTCAAAAAACCTAAAACCTGCAGGGACACCGGTCCTTGAGGCCTGGAGTTGCCCACCCCTGGTTTGGGGTTTACCATTAACCTAAGCCAAGGCCTATAGAGGTGAACTGCCATTTTTGCTTGTGGTGTCTCTTTTCTGTGGATGCTGGTAATTTTCTATTTAAGTTTTTTTGTGTTATTCTGGCCTTTGTCCCCCTTGAAAAGTCCAGCCTTGTCATCTCCTCTTATTCCTCACCTGGGATCATTTTACTCCCATTTGGACCTTTGACTCATAACAATGTCATGCTTAAAAATCTGACACATACACAAAATGGACAAAAAACTGGGCTGACCAGAAGCCACATTACACCTACAGGAGCAGCTCAGTCATGGAAACTCATACCAGAAAGCTCCTGTTGCACAGGTTTTATGCTGATGTTAATGTGAAAGGAGGTTTGGGATTCTGCAGAGCATTGGCACTTTTTATGCCCTGTTTGCATTACCGCTCAATGTTGTGGCTTTGCTCCGCTTTGCAATAACACTATTTACAGTCGATCTAGAGAGGGAAAAATATTACAAACTGACCTTTTGCAATAGCGACATACTATTACAGCACCACAATCAACTTCAGTGATCCCTTTAGAATGACCCATTCTTTCACAAAAGTTTCTAAAGGTGACTGAATGGCAGTACTCAGTACTTTTGTCCATATAGTGTAACTTACAAATTATTTTCTTTTTAAAAAATAACACTCTAAAACTACTGGCCATTTCTGTACCTGGGTTCCTGTGCCACCTGCAGGGCTCTCAGGGCTTTCTCCACAGCTGCGGTCAGCATGGCATCATCCTGCAACATCTGAGTCAACACAGGACCTGGCAGCTCCAGTAACATGCCTGTAACACAGATCAAGCTAGACTTCAGGGCCAAGTTACAGCTTCACTTGCAAGTATTAAAACAAAACGACAAAAACATATATATATATATATAATGTCATTAAACAAAAACTGAGGTACGCAGGTCCCCTAACCTGTGAGTTTTCCAGCATCCTCTTTGTGTTTGGAGGAAATCAGAGAGTACAGCTGCTCCCCAAGTGTCTCCAGATCTTCTTCTTCTTCCATGTTTGACTCTTCATCACAAGACCCTGACTTTACCTGCCATGCTAGAGCAGGCCGTGACCTTTAACTTATCAGGTTTTGACCTCAGATACATTTCTTGTTCACATCTTTCAATCACAGCAGCATAACGAAAACATCCACGAAATAAATCAAAATCGGCGTCCAGAAGTTGCGATTTTGTCTACAATCGCTCTCTTATTCGCCCTGCCTTTGCTCCTCGTTGGCTCGAGTTTGGAGCTAACATAACACTAATCGGTTTGGCGTTAAAACAGCTGATTATTATGTGTAAAATTTCAGGCGGGTGCCTGTAAACACCAGGCGCACATTAATGACGTGGACATACTTACTACGCTGAACGTATTCCTCCGCTCTTTCTATAAATAACTAGTACTAAACAAAATTACATTCAGTATTCAATACAGCATCAAATGCGTTAATAAAATGTACATATATATATTAATTATTAGCTATATGTCATATAATTCAATAAAATATGGCTTTTGTCCCAAAATGCAATTTAAAAAGGTAGATGGGTGTGCGTAAGAATCTCAGCGAGAGGTTCCGTAAAGCGGTTTCCGCTCTCTCCGGTCCTTTCCTCCGCTAAAAGGTAACGTGGTCGCTTCGGTGGCTAAAAGCTGTTGATTAAAGTACATTTGTTTTCTTTCCCTAGTTGTTTTTGTGTTAATAAATGTAGGTATTATTCTTATGTTTGTTGTTATACACCTTGTGCGACAATAAATGTCCCTGTTGTATGTAGAAATGGAAAGATTAATCTTGTAAGCACCTCGCTCTGGTTAGGCCTCATCGTGCTCCTTCGGTTCCCCGGCCTGAACAGTGGCGCTAATGCTAGCAACCGCAGCTCTCTGTGTTTTCTGTACAGTCCTAACAGAATAGTAAAGTCTACGGTTCGCTATATTAGATGTTTCCCGTCTCATCGTTTCCCGTGTTAGTCCGTTCAAGTTGTGACGCTAAGCTAACACGTTTAGCTAATGTCAGAAAATGCATGCAAACATGTTAGACGCCTGTCAGGGTTTTTCGTCTTCCAGATTTTCAAGAAAAAACTTTCCCTCTTTTACACAGGTTCACCATGTCGTCCCATTTGCAGTGGATGGTCATCAGGAACTGCTCCAGCTTCCTCATCAAGAGGAACGGACAGACCTACAGCACTGTGAGTACAAAACCTGCTCTGAAGAACCTGACCAAACGTGCGATTACGCACCCAGAAAGTTTGCTTTAGTACTGAAACTGGGTTTGAGCAGTGATGTACAGTGTGGTATGGTAGGGACACAAATAACTTAGACTTAAAACACGGATCCCAGGCTTTGTACATTACCTTAACATACTAACAAAACATTGCAAGACAATCTGCTGTTAGTGTTTGAGAATTGCATATTAGCTGAGCTGACAGGATATGCCACATAGGCTTGGACTGTATCTGTGTTTGTGACATAATTCTGGCTAAAGATGTGAGATTAGTTGAAGGTGGCACTGGAAATGCTAGTTGGCTAGCATCCGTAAATATTTATATTGCTGAAGATCAAATTGTTGAGATTTTTAAATGTCCTGGTAATGTTTATTAAAATATACCGCATTACCTCCCTAGCCTAACAGCAGGATCAGGCAAGATAATTAAATAAATGCATGCCAGTGATCTGAATGTCTTTGTTTTGTGACAGGAGCCCAACAACCTGAAGGCCAGGAACTCTTTCCGCTTCAATGGGTTGGTGCACAAGAAGACTGTAGGTGTGCAGCCTGCAGCCGACGGCAAGGGTGTCGTCGTAGTGCTGAAGAAGCGTGCAGGTAAATGAGTAATGCTGGTTCATTAACGTTTGAGTAATAGTATTGTCCAGACTCAGACTGGACAAACGATCCTCTCTTCAGTAACTTTAAGGAGTATTTGAACACAAATATTTAAAATGCTCCTTATGCATCAGGTAGCAGCAACGTTTATGTCATCTATGGATGCCTAATGAATTTCCATTAATGGGAGGGGGGGAAGGAAGTTGTTAAAATTTATAACTAGATACATTATTTTGTGTTGTACAGTGAGATATGACAAGGATGACAACTGCAGAAGTATTAGATTCTGCATATTGTGTATATCACAGTATACAGAAATGTGGTTTTCTTCTTGGAAAATCCATATTTTTGGATCATTGGATGCTCATTTTGTTCTCTTGATGCACAGGCCAGAACAAACCTGCCAACTCCTACGTCAAGGTCACCATCAACAAGAATTCCCGTGCCACCCTCAACAGCTTGAGGCACATCATTCGCAAGAACAAATACAGGAAGGACCTGCGTATGGTGAGCTTAATCTGTGGTTTTGGGGAGGCTGAAACTTTAAATAGCTGGCATTTTTGTTTGTGTCAAAGTTTAAGAACAACATTTACGTCTCATTTGTTTCCCCAGGCTGCCCTGCGTCGTGCCAGCGCTATCCTGAAGAGCCAGAAGCCTGTTGTGGTCAAAAAGAAGCGCACCAGGGCTGCCAAGACCGCATAAACTCATTCACATGATAAATAAATAAAAGGGTTTTTGTTTGGAAAAAACACTACAGTGTCCTGAGTCTTCAATTTTGAGCATGAGCTTCTTTAGATCAGTGATCTGCGCAGGTATCCGATGTGGTTATATTTTTAAAGCAGTGTTTGTGTCTGAGGAATTGATGCACATAAATGGATGTTTTTCTTCCCCACAATAATTTGTTTTTTCTCAAGTGATAATTCACTTCCACGAGTCCGAAAACAGTCCTGATGAGCTGTGTAGATGTATGGAAGCAGAAAAAAAAGTTACATGTTACTTTTGACAGGTGTGCAGTTTCCTTGTGACGGCCATTAGTTTTGTCACAACTACAAATGTGGCAGTAAGTGGAAAATGGGCGAGTAAGACTGATTATCCAAGTTTCTGCCCATACATGACAGGCTTTAGCTTTAGATGCTGCTGCTACTGAGAGTTTACTTAAAAGCTACAATTGTGATTTTTAGATTGAAATTTGTTTCCAGTGTTTTGTATGTTAATGAATAGGGAGTACCTCCTCCCGAACTCCCTCCCCTGATGATCCGTTGTTATCATAGATCGTATTTGTATTTGAGGACGATCACACTGAAGCAATCTGCTTCTGCTACTGCACTTAGTGATACGGAAACATTGGATTGATTTAAAAGCAGCCCACTGGCAGCTTTCCACCCATGGCTTTGGAAAGAAAGAACCATTGTCACTCCCACCCCTGCCGTGTTTAAGCTGACAATATCTGCACCGACCATTTATTCCTGTCTTCACCTGTGACAAGGATCGCTGGGTTACTGTGAAGATGTGACAGAAGCTTTGTGCTGCAGTCGCTATGAGGACACTAAGGCTTTTGCTGGTAACCCTGACGCTGCTGGTGCTGGAAAGTCAGGGTTTTGAACTGCAGGATACGATCCATGCGCTGATAGAGGAGAACATCCACCTCCATGACCAGCTGGAGAACCTCACCAAGGCCCTCAGAGAGCTCAAACGGATGCTGTGGCTTCACTCAAATGGTACAGAGTCCTCTTTATGTTATCTGTAAATACAGGTGGGCAGGCTGAGCTTGGTTTTGGTTTTTAATAAAAATAACTCAAAACGATGATGGTTAAGATGAAATAATAAAACGTTCCTTTGAGGAATTTATGTTCTTTAAATGAAAAATCCATAGTGCAAGAAAATAATTCAAATGGGAAATAAAATCTTCACGTTTGTGTGTTTAATTCTGATCCTTTTCTTTGTTACGAAAGTCTTTTTTTATATCTTTAGTGTCTCCTACTCCATTTTTCACTGCACATATTCTTGTACACAAAAACAACATCTTTGAGCTGAAATGAGAGACAATTGCACAGAAGCTGATTTTGAGACAGTGTATGGGGATGAAATGTTGGCGTCCAAGGTCAAAACGGCTTTTCCTTTTTCATTTACTCCTCATGTTCTGTATGTTTTAATCCTCTCCCGGCTCTTTGTGTTAACTCGTGCACTCTCTGCATACACATTAGCACTTCAGGGCTCGATTAGGATGCAGGATGTTTTGCATTTTTTTTTCATATAGTCTGTGCTGTTCGCAGAATAAAAGATATTAACAGAGCAATTCTCTGTTTTTGATACAGACCCAGATCATCACCATGAACATCATGATGAAGATGTCCAGCATCTGTGGGACGAATGGTCAGAACATGGTGTGTATGTCTGCAGCTGGCTGAAACTACTCCCGTGACTTCACAGAGCTGTGCTCACTGCATTAGTTTGCATTGATTTCATGGCTGTGTGGACAGCAGAGGGTTAATGAGTTGCATTTTGGGATAAACCAGCTGCCTAATGCACACCCCAGCTGACAAAGTGTGACAGAATTTCTCCTTTCCTGGCAGGTATCAGTGCAGAAACCCACCTCCTGCTGGAAAACACCTTTTGTGGGCATGGCCTGCATGGCTCAGCAGCTCCTCTCCACGGTCACGGAGCACACCTCATACGCCTGCTGATGCTGCTGCAGCTGCTGCTGATAATGATGAGATGCCTGTAGGCTGCAGCGGTCTGATGTCAGAAAAGTTGAGTCAACTCCTCATGGCCGCTGCAGGCTGTATTGTGCAATTTAATATGGTTGAACAGCGAGTGTCGATGCCACCGCTCTTCCTGTTCAGAGGAATTATTGAGCCGACAAGATTTGAAGAGTTGACCTGTCAATCCTGTGTACAAATCACCTCTGGGGAGGATTCACTGGAGCGAAAAGTTCATGTGGGTGTAGAAAGCAGACTGAGAGCAGGTTAAACACAGGGAGTTGCCTTACTTTTTAGCCATTTATTGTATTAATGAAATACAATAAATGTTTATAACTAAGCTGAACTCAGAAAGTTGGTTTTTGTAACTCTAAATGGAAATGCTGTGAACTTTACTGAAAAATAAAGCTAACTGCTAATTTTTTGTGTTTGCCTGAGTACAGCTAAAGCCACTTTACCTGCTATAAAATGAAACAATAATTCTTTCCAATTTAAAAAAAACTAAGTAATGAAATAGAAATAATTACTGAAATATCAATGAATTTATTTGAAAAGATGTAATAGATTATTTCCAATTTGAAATAGTTAATTACTGAAATGTGTAATTTATTATTTATTTACTTATTTAATTCATTTTGGCACTCTTGGCCCTCCAGTTTCAACAACACTAGTTATCACTCAGGTGTTTTCACCTTAAACACTTCTACCCCAACGCTTTACGTTGTTCACCAGTTCCTGTTTTAAAAACAATAAAATGTTAAAGCAGCCAAAGTCGTTCTTCAGTTGAACCACTTGGCAGTCATCTTGAAACGCCTC